GCGCCCATGTTCCCAAGTCCTTCTGGGTGGATGCTCTTCGCCACGCTTTCTATGCTAATGACTCTTTTCCCTGCAAGACACCCATTGGTTTCAAATCTCCAGCATCCATCCTGGGAAAGCCTTTGGTCGATCTCTCTCTACTCCACCCTTTTGGATGTCTAGCTTACTATAAGTTTCAGGAGGCAGATCGTAAGAAGCTGGACGTGAAAGGTCGGGCCTCAATTCTGCTTTCCTATCTGGATGATGGAAATGGATACCGGCTATACGATCTTGAGAAGAAAACGGTAATCAAATCCACGGATGTCACATTTTTTGAAGAAATCTTCCCTTATGGTGCCGACTTGAAGGTTACTCCCTCTCCCGTCATTGTGGAACTCCCGTGGCCGGTTGTGTCTTCTCCCATCAAGCCGGTAACCCCGCCATTGGATGCGAATCCGGTTCCCAGCTCTCCTTTGCCTACTCCGTCTCCTACCCGGGATAGGGTGCCTACACCAGATCTCCCGCTTCTGAACATCCCACTTCAAGATCGATTTGACCGTCGTCTAACAGCTTCTATTCACGCTCCATCCAACTCACCCAAGACATCTGTCGAACCTCCCGCAACAGTTACTATTCCCTCTTCCTCAATACCGTCTGAAGATATTGTACCCATCTCTTTACCTCCTCTTCCTCCCTCTCCTCCTTCACTCCCGTCTGCCTCTGCACCTCCTCCATCTCCTCCCAGAAGGAAATCCGGACGGGAGCGAAAGGCTCCAGAACGCTATGGAAATTGGTCCAAATCAGCAAAAATAACTGATAATGTAGATACTCCCAAGACATGGCGACAGCTTCTCAAATCACCTAATAAACATCGATGGTTAAAGGCGGCTGAAGATGAGTTTTCCTCGCTTCTTGGGATGCACACGTGGCGCCTGGTTCCCCGGCCGGAAAAACGTAAAATCATCAAGTCCAAGTGGGTTTTCAAGGTGAAACGCCGACCAGACCGAACAATTCAGAAACTGAAGGCCCGTCTTGTGGCAATGGGGTACTCTCAAGTACATGGCCTGGACTACGATGAAGTGTTTTCCCCCACGCTCAGACTTGAAACTCTCCGACTAATCCTCAGCCTCCTGGCAATTCGCAAGTGGAAAGGACGACAGGTGGACTTTAAGACGGCCTTTCTCAATGGTCATCTGGAACACACGGTTTTCATGGAACAACCTCCAGGCTTTGAAGATCCCTCCCACCCTGACTGGGTGTGTGAACTTGATCGTTCTCTCTACGGTCTCAAACAATCTCCGCGCCAATGGAACAACGAACTCCATCGTGCCCTACTTGATCTTGGTCTGAAGAACTCCGCTTATGATCCCACCCTGTATTTCAAACTGATAAACGGAAATCTTGTGGGTGCTCTCACCACTCATGTGGACGATTTAGCCATTGTTGGTGAACCAACCTTTGTCGATCATCTCATCTCTTCTCTTGGTTCCAAATTCAAAATTGGTGCCGACGAGGACTTACACCATTTTCTCTCCCTTAAAATATCTCGCGACATCCCTAACAATCTAGTGTACCTAAACCAGTCTCACTACATTGATGAAATTTGTGATCGTTTCCTCAATGGTTCCCATCTTCCAGTCTCCACCCCGACAGATTCAAACTTCAAAAACCTTCGCCGCAAGCAAGAGTGCGACCTTCCTTCCAGTGGCCCGTATAATCAAATCATTGGCTCTCTTCTGTGGGTTTCGCAATGCACACGTCCCGACATTTCCTTTGCTGTTAACCGTCTCTCTCAGCACCTGCGAGATCCCTCCGATGCCCATTGGTCGGCAGCCGTGCGCGTTCTTAATTATCTGGTCACCACTAAACATCTGAAACTCAAGTTAGGTGGGAAACTCTCATGCTCTGGGTTCTCCGATTCGGACTGGGCGGAAGACAGAGATGACCGCAAGTCTACTTCAGCCTATACTTTTCGCATTGGTGATGGTGCCATTTCCTGGAAATCACGTAAACAGGCCACCGTCTCACTCTCCAGCACTGAAGCAGAGTACAAGGCGATCTCTGATTCCTGCAAAGAGGGTCTTTGGCTTCGACATGTCCTCTCAGAAATACAACTTCGTCCCGGCACCGCCATTCCTATTCATGTGGACAACGAAGGAGCAGAAGCATTGGCCAAGAATCCAGAACATCACGCCCGCACTAAACACATTCATGCTCGTTATCATTTTGTCAGGGAATGTCTTGCAGATGAAGAGATAACTCTCCTTCATGTCTCAACAAAAGACATGCTTGCCGACATGCTCACTAAACCCCTCTCCCGTCTCATGCTGGAACGTCATCGTGAAATGTTTGGATTGGTTGCCTAATTTTTTTTTCTTTCTTTCTTCTCCTCCTTTGTTTGATTTTTTTTCTCTTTTCTCTTTTCTCAATTTTTCCTTTCTTCTTCTTCTTCTTCAGGTCTTCAGCAAGGGGGGGTGTTGGAGTAGTGTTTTTCTTTCTCCTTTCTCTTTCTCTGCTTCATACCTGTTTCAGACCTGTCACTCATCTGTCACAGGATTCATACTATACCTGGGCCAGAGTACGTGGAAGGATTCCTCTCCTCATCCTTCCACAAAACCTTTCTCTGACCCAGGTATGCACTTCTCTTTTCTTTCTCTTTTCCTTTCTTCCTTTTTGTGTCTCTCTATGTTTTGTTTCTCTCTGCTGATGCAATACAAAACATATCCTTCCACAAAACCTTTCTCTGACCCAGTTGAGTCCAACATTTCCCCCACCCAAATTGCCATGTATTTTTGGGGCAAAATGGGTACTGGGGAATACTGCGATAAGACACCTTTAAACCCACCATTGGTCAGCTTCACAAAATGAAAATATGAGGTCAGATTTTCTCAAATCAAAATGTGGCACAATGCAAGTTTAACTGTGATGGAAATTGGTTGTCTTCCTGTCCCATGGAGCAGATTCAAGCTGGATTCTGGTTTAAGCTATTTGCCTCCAGGTCTCAGGCAGGAATTTGCCAACTGTTTATTACAATTAGTCATATTCTTCTAATAATTTCAATGTTCAGGGGGAGGAACAATAAGTATGAACTCACCTAGCTCGGCAGAATAGAAGTTAATGGTTCTCTACCAAGTTAGGAAGAGTGAATCTGAAAGGTATGTATTAGATGATGATTATGTAAGCTAGATGTGATTGTCCTTGTCAAACTCGTGTGTGGTGAGGTTTCACACATAATATCTTCTCACAAGAATTATTGAGCTTACAAATTTCTACCCAATCGAGAAGCACTCAAAGTTTGTACCTTTGTGTTCCCAATAAAAACAAAACCATCATTGTTGGAAAACAGCCTGGAAACCAACAGCTGCTCCAGAAAATCTGCCAACACCTGTTGAAGCTATCCCAACCAGTAAGTTTAGAGAGCTCCGAAGACTGATTCCTGTTTTTGTTTAACCGAGTTGTGATTCTAGTGCTAGAGATTTAAGACATTGACTGAGTGAGAATTTGGCTTTGTCTTCAGAGGTTGAAAAGGAGCTTGTGTTGAAGAGTGAACCAGGAAGGACCAGACCAGCTGAACTTGAAGACATGAATCAAGTTGGAGCTCATCAGACTCTTGGAACGGATCTTGAAGATCAGCCACAAGGGCCCAAAACTTCTGCTTATCAGAGAGAACTTTCGAAAACATTGCGCAAGGAAAACAAGTTCTGGAGGTCATTTCTGGCCATACTTTGTATCCCCTGCTGTGATGAGTTCATCTTATCGTGAACACACCTGTGGAGAATTGCAAACCAAGACTGCAGGTGTCAAATGATAGTGATTTGACAGAATGAAACATGATGAGTGGGAGGGATATAAAGCCTCATCCCCTCCTGCTAGAATAAGTTTGTTTCTTGATTCTCCTCTCTTTCTTACAATTCCATCCCAGATTTTTCTCTGCTGAATCTTCTGCTCTAGTACTACAGCTTATGTGTTTATTTATTTTCAGTTTGGCTTGAGATGATTTGAATTATATAATTATGAGTTTTTTACGCTAGTATCTCTCATTATTTTATGATGAATTGTTTGTTTTCTCAACAGATATGATTGATCAACTTATAAAAGTTTGATCTTGACTCATGATATCTGCTATGACCCTAATCATGACTGATCTGGTTTATGATTTTGGATCATTTCTTCACTATTATCAGGCTACCTATTTATATAGTCATTTCTTTTGGCCTTAAATTCCTTATACCTTTTTCCTTGATGTTAATGTTTAATTTATCCATCAGCATCCAAGGGCATCTATTGTAAGACCTTAGCTTTCTGATGTCCATTTATTCCTGATAGTGGTTAGGTTCATTGAACCCCATGGTCTCCTTCTTACTTAATTGTTATGTACATGCAGATGAGGGGTAGATTTAAATATTGGAGTTTTAATTAAATTGGCTGATGTTAAATAAGTATGATGGAATTCATCATCTCTCCTGAGGGCTGACAGAGTTCATGAGGTTTTTTGTGGACCAAGTTAATTATTAACTAGTTTTCTCTCAGTAAGACTTCTTTGCAACTTGTTTTGATGGTGACCAGCCTATCAGGACCGGAGTTTCTCCTCCTTCCGATATACCCACCGGTGTTCCTTAGCGAAGAATGATGCAATCAGCTGATCTCATTGGAAATTTACAATCGCGGTTTTATCTTCAGCTCTTGGGATTGAAAGTGTATTTGAATAATAATGAAAATGCATGTATTGAGGTGTGCGAGAGCCCGTCTTGAAGGGATTCTATTGTAACAGAAGTATTGAAGACGCAGGTTTGTTGATCGATAAGATGATGAGGTCCTTATAAGGTTCTGTATGTATGTATCTCTCGACCAATCTGCCGATTCGCAGTGCTCGTTGGATCGGTGGTTTTGTAAACTGGATCACACTGGAATATCGAACACATGTTTCCGCCAAAGAACTCAAGAGATCACTTGTCATCATCATCAGTCAAGTTTGCATAATCTGGGTTCCAGACGGAGTGAGTGAGTGAGTGAGTAGGCTTACGTAATCAGTCTCCCGTGAACTCTAATAAAGAAATCAAGAAATTTGAAAATCGCCGTAAACTCAGTCAGCCATCAGTCTTCAAGTCTCCTGGCGTGAAAAAAAAAAAAAAAAGAAAAAAGAAAAGCCGAAGAAAAGGCCGATGAGAGGAAGAAAAGAAGAACGAACAACTGCTGCTACTAACGAACCAACAAGACCAACAACCCCAAACGCAAACCCAAACCAACGACTTATCATCAGAGGAAAACCAAAGAAGAAGAACAACAACAATCAACCATGAGTCAAGACCAGCAACAACAACTGCTACTACCACTCCCACTACCACCACCACTCAACAACAACTATCCAAACCAAGAACACTCCGAACAGCAGCAACCACTCTCATTCTCCGGAAGATGGATCCCACTCCCCAAGATCCTCTACGGCACCACCATCTACCCATTCAACCCAATCCAGATCGACCCCAGGAAGGTGGACATCAAGGGAAAGGGAAAACAACCCACCGAAGAGCCCTCCCAGGATAACCTCCCAAACCTAGTCCCTGCCAATCCAAACCAGGTCAGTCTCCGTCTCCCACCTGAAACAAGTCTCCAGATAAAAAAAACTATGTATCTTTGACTTTCGCCGATCACCTGATTTCTATTTCTATCTACCTTCTTCTGCTGCTCATTCAGGTCCCATTGGACGTCGGTGATGAATGCTACGTCTTCGAGCAGTATCTACCTGCATCCCATCCCATCGACCCTTCCTCGATCTGGTACAGAGGCTATGTCGTCACCATCTCCCATCAACCCTCCTCACTCTCAAACCTACCCGTCTCTCAACTCAACCGAGCCGACTCTCAACCATTCGAATCCACAACCAACAACACCGATCACTTTCACTCCCCCGCCCATCTTCCAGATGAACCTCAAGTCTTCCTCGGCATCTTCCCCGCCTCCCATCTCCAGATCAGGGAACATCTCGACGACTCATCCCATCGATCAGACCGCTCCCTCGCTCAGATTCGTGCCGCCAGCGCTGCTCATCTCCACTCCATCCAGGGCCAATCGAATAACAGCAACAATGCTCACCTGCTCAGGTCGTTCAGCAAGGATTCCGGTCCGATGGAGCCTCTGCCGGAGGAAGACGAATCCGATCTCATCACCACCCCACTCAACCAACATCCATCCCAGAAGGCCAACGAACCTCCCGATCATGAGAAACTCTCGACCCCCTTACCATCCCTCAAGGCCGGCGACGAGACCGTCTCGGGTCGCGATGAACCCCTGATCGACGAAATCGCCTGTGCACTCAGGGAGTGGTATACCCTCCTCTTCGTCCATCTCCATCGACGGCGCTACCAACTCTTCCATCTCATGAAGCTACAGATCGAAGCCCTTCACATGGGAAGGCGTCAACTCCTAGCCCAGACCTTGAGCACCGAGGAGGCTGCCAAACTCAGACGCGATCTCGTCAACCGACTCGTCTATGGCAATTACATCCAACATCTCGATATCATCGTCCGTCACCCTGATTACGGTGCGCTCGTCGATAGCGAAGTCGAAATCGAGGCTGTTGATTCGAGGTCATGGATGTCGATCATCAGAATGTATGTCTACCAGGTCAAACTCGCCTATCTCAGCCCGGCACTCAACTCTCCCACCGGAGCTCAAGCGATCCTCCATCTAGCCGAACCCAGTGGCTCCAATGCACTCTCCTCCATCAGCGCCAACAACCAGTCCAAACTCTGTGAACCCAATCAGATCCCCTTGAACGCACACCTCCCTAGCCTACGCAATACCAGATCCAACGGCCCCACCTCAGTCGACATGCTCACCTCACCACATGGAACTAGGGCTCAGAACTGTTCTGGAAGCGGCTATCGACCCAAGTTTTATCACATGATGCTTGAGATCAAATCCTTTTTGGCTAGTCCGTGTGTCGAGGGGGAGATGATGGAGCTCTACTTTTCACTCTACAATAAGAGTGAGAGTAGGTTTCTCACCGAAGAGTTTTGCATCATCCTCAACCATATGGGCTTGCCTCAGAACTCAAACCCTGTGCAATCGAGGCACCTCCAACATATGTCGACATCTTATACTAGCAACCCCGGCGGTGAAAGTCATCTAGGCGTTGGTCAAGATCAGAAGGCGAATCCTAACGAACTGATCTCACTTCGAACGATGTTCAAGGACATCAGCCCACACGACGTCCAGGATTCGATCTTCTTAGTCTGTCGACTAGTCAAGAATGGCGCAATGAAGACGGCCGCCGGGCATTCTAACCATACCGCCACCATTCAAACCATGCAAGAGACCTCTCACACCTTGAGCGTCAGCCCCTCAGGATATGAACCCGACTTCAATTCGCTCAGGAATTCCTTTGACGTCACTAGTTCCGACGCGCCCACCCTAAGACAGATTGGCCAGCCTAGAGAGGCCCATGGGATGACGTTCACCAGTCTCAAATCGGGTTCTCAATCTGTCCGACGACCGTATGGATGTGCCGTTGTGGAGCTCGCTCAATTCTCCTCTCAAAGTAGTCAGATGCTCTTCGGCAATACTCCCAACTCTGCAGGAATGTCTCGACTGACCAGCCAGACTACCGCCACGCCATCGAACGTCTTTGAGCCACCCACCAGTCGGTACACCATGAACATCTTCTCACCCGTCAGTGAAGCCAGTTTCCCAACCTTACACGAAGATATTATCGCCTCTCGAACCAAGGAATTCTTTGGAAGTGGTAACCTCACCTCTAACGGACCCGGGCATAACACTAGCAGTAACAAAAATCATCAACCCCCTCAAGGTCTGGGCCCTAAGAATGAGGCGATCGAAATTCAAATGAAGACTTACTACGGTGATACAAATACAATCCTCAAGGAGAACAGCTCAATGCTCAGCGATGTTCCAGTGACCTCTAGATTGGGCTTTCCAGACGTAGTCTATCCGGATGACTGTAAGTTACTTTTAGGGACCTTTTGTTGAATGTATCTTGGTTTACTTAAGTTTGATTCATGCTCTTCCTTCAAACAGCACGGAACGAAATCTACATCAAGTTATGGTCCGGCGATTTCTCTAACCTCAGTGTTGGCGCTTCCAAAATGATCTCCGCATCCGGCTCGGGTAAGAACATCGAGGTTGCTGCCGAATTGAGGACCAATACTGGTCAGCTACTCGAGCGGATGATTTCTCGTGGCTCTGGAGAACCTAAAGTAACCCGGTACAACTCGATGGTCTACCGTAATAACCAGACCCCTAGTTTGTCCCCCCCCCTTCCTCCCCTTTGTTTTTATTTCTGCAGAAACAAAGAGTGTGATCCTTATTGATTCAATTTTTTATTATTTGTTCCCCAGCTTGGGGTGAGCTGATGAAATTGGATATCAGCTCAGAGACCATCGAAATCTGTCATCTGTTCTTCACCTTCCGTAACCGGCAGGAGAAATCAACCCGAAACAACAACGGTCAAACACAGATGGACAAACCGTTTGCCTTTGCCTACTTACCGCTGTTCTCATCCAACCGTACGTTCATACCGGATGGCGAGCACAGCCTGATACTGTTCAAGTATGACGAACAAAGCGCTATGCCTGAAGTTTATTGCCGCGTACGACCGACCGTTATTCCTGGACAAGCAATGCCGGAAATAACTCCTGCACTCTCCAAGCTATTGATTCCACTTAAGGACAGCTTCATCGTCCGATCGTTCCTGTGCTCAACCCTCCACACTCAAGACGAAGTCCTGCTCAGGTTGATGAAGTGGAACACTCTACTAGATGACCCCGATGGATTGAGGCAGACGCTCACCAAGCTCAAGTTTGCCTCCGAAGTTGAAATCTGCAAATTTCTGCGGAACATTTTTGATGCCTTGTTTGGTGTCTTGGTCTCCCGTGCCAATGCGGAAACCAAAGAGTACGAGGAACTTGTCTTTAATGCCCTCGTGACCCTGCTTGGAATCGTCTCCGATCGTCGCTTTACCAACTTCAAACCGGTAGTCGACCTCTACATCGATCATCACTTCTCCTCTACAACCGCCTCGACTCATCTGTTACAATCCTTCCAAAACTTGCTAATTAATCCAACCTCACCCGAAAACGCTCACCCCTTGAGATGCTCCATCAAGGTTTGGGGTTATCTGATGAGGTTCATTGTTCGGTCGAGGGAGCTACAGAGAATCAAAGAATTGAATGCACCATCCAGTGGACTGATGTGCGATGCAGTAGAATCAAAGTTCAAAGTTGACATTAGCACGTTGCTCGGTCGAATCAATAACCTCATGACCACTGACTCGAGTTCGATCATCGGCACTCAAACCTTGGCTGTCCAACACTTCGCAAGTCTGATGACTGAACTAGCCAAGGTCTTCACCCCACTCGAGTTGCTAGAAAAGGCGAATGCTTTCTGCGAGTCCATCAAGGTCACCAAAGGCAAGATCGTGATGTGGAAACTCTTGCTCCAGGAACATATCGTCATGAGTCCCATCTTTGACCAAGCTGATGGAAGGCTTCAGTTGGTCCCCAAACTGACAACCTGGGTTAAGCCCCATCTCGGCGAATTCGAAGATTACCTGATGTTCAAACCCCAAGATAACGACGTTATTAAGCATTCAGCTCGTGTGACGTGGTTGGAGGGAATCCGGATTGCCGTCGCCGTGATTGCGGTAGCATTGGACAAATTACACGAAGTTCTGATCGACCCTGCTGTCTGTAACGATCCAGGAAGCCTGGCACAGGAACACGACAACATTGAATACTTACTCGGCTTGCTTCCCAAGTTACTTGAGTCCTTCCGAGAGTTCGAAAGCCCTGCGAACGTCGAGATCGTCCAACGGCTGGGGACAACAGCTTCAGTCATCAGTTCTGTCCCAATCGTCTTTCCAGCTACCTATCCATTCTCTCTCTTGAATTCGCTCCCTCCCAAACCTAATCTCAATCCGAGCAACTCGATGTCCAATCCCAACGATCCCAATAACAACCCATCCGTCGGTCAACAGAACAATCCGCCGACGGTTCAGAATGCACTAGGAGAGATTGCGGTGGTGATGATCACGATGATCATGTTGGCTCCGAGTCAGATGTTGAAGAATCATTTGGAACTGATGCTCGAAGTGGAAGGGAAGATAAACTTTGGGAAGTTCCTGTCGAAGATCTTCAAGGCATTTTACTCGATCTTGAAGAACGCGTCCTTTCCGTCGAATTGGTTGAACATCAACGTGATTTCTCACAAGGCGATCTTGAAGTTACTCGAAGTAGTTTCAAAGATCCTGCAACGGGAGTTCATCCCCACCACCGCCAACGAGCATGATCAATCAAAGGAACAGATGAATCTGAAACGAGCCGGGCATGTTCGAGAAGAGCCGTCGGGATCGGAGGAGGAGGAGCGCTTTGACTCGAACCTTTGGTCGGACTTCTTTGTCCTCAACCACGGTCTCCTCTCCTCTAAACTGCTGATCATCGAGGAATATCCGCCTCAGAAACGTAGAGTGATCTGGAAACTTGCTGGTGATATTCGCGATGAAGGATCCAAAATCTTTAGAGCCGCTTGGGAATCTATCGGGGACTTCTCGATCACTATCGGCTCGCATAATCCTGCGGATAATAGTCCTAATCAGGATTCTCAGGATAACCCGGATCTCAATAAGGAAGATACCGATCAACTCACGGGGCCTCAGCACCAAATCAATGAAGTCACACGATGCGGTAAGCCTCACTATCTCTTTTGGGCATCTATTCTTATGTTTTCAAGAAACAAACGCTGAGAGGTTGTGTTTTGTGTGCGTGGAATTGTAGGCGGATATCAAGTCCAATTCGTCCCCGGATTCATCGAACCTTTGTTGGAACTTTGTTTGTCCCATCATGATGAATTGAGGAGTAATGCGGTCATTGTGGTGTGTACTTTTTTTTTCTTCTCGCAAACAAATTATTTGATTATTATTTCGATCGGCTGAATTGCTTCTCTCTCTTTTTGCGTATCAGCTGTACAGTGTGATCGTCAGCGAATTCAATCTCAACCGGGATTTGTAAGTGATGATATCAACCCCGATGAATCTGAAGAAATCTTACTGATGACAATGATGATGAAAAAAATAGTACGGTGATAGCGGACGAGATAATCGACAAGCTAGACAACCTATTAGGAAGTTCACCGAACGAAAACCTCTCGAACCAGATGGACGAGATGAGTCGGGCAAGCTTTGTGGGTCAGCTGCGGGCGCTCTTCGACCACTCTCCAATCATCGACCGGCAGGAAGATCCTGGACAACAGGGCCAGCAGGCTGGGATCGAACAGGCGCTGAAGACTCAGATCGATCTCTTCCTCGACTCGCTCACTCAGTTCTTAGACCTCCTTCTCTCCATTCGGAACTTGCCTCCTGGCGATGAGGTCCGTTCTTCTCTTTCTCTCCTCCTCTCCACTAAATCTCTCTCTCTTCTTCTTCTATTAATACGTCCCCTCTCTTCTCTTTCTTTCAGTTCATCGATGATCGGGTCATCGGCACACTTAAATTAATGTCCTTTATTCGGAACATCGGGCGGAGTGGGATTTACATCCATTACGTCCATAAACTCGTTAACTTTCATGCTGCTCATGGCAACTTTGTCGAGGCTGGGTAAGTGATCAGAACTATTTTTTTGCATCCCGTTGGAAAATCTACTTGAATGATCTCGTATTAATGTTGGCTTTGTTTCGGATCGGGTCACAAATAGGTTGGCGCTGAGATTGCATGCCGATTTGCACGAATGGGATCTCAATTCAATCGTTGATGCAATGCCGGGATTGTCGCTCCCTAAACAGACTGTCTTTGCTCGTAAAGAGGTACGTCAATCGATCCCCTCTTTCTAGTCATTTTTTTTTCTCTTCCTATATTTTCTTTTTGAATATAGAAGGATGAAAAGACTGATAAACTCTAAACATGGATGTCCAATTTTTGTTTTCGAAAAAAGGCACTGTATTTTAGGATTCTGGACTTCTTGTCCAAAGGCAAAGCCTGGGAAAGTGGGATCCAGATCTGTAAAGAATTGCAAGAACAGTACGAACATGTGTCGTTTGATTACGAACGATTGTCCGAAGTCTTAGCCCACCAATCTTCCCTCTTTCTCAAGGTATTATATCAAATTTCTTTCTTTACCAGTTAATAATATTTCTTCACTTTTTTAAGAAGAGCGCAATTGGTATCTGATTTTTCTTGGTTTCTTCACAAAACAGATCGTTAAAACCGATCGCTATTTCAGTGAATGTATGTTCTGCTTTTTTGCACCGAGTCTTCATGTCAGTGGTTGAACTTACTCTTTACGGCTGGTTGTTTGTTCAGATTTTCGAGTGGCCTTCTATGGTCAAGGGTTCCCGTGAGTATCTATTAGCAATACAAAAGACGCACTGTTTCCCTTCACACTGGGTCCTGACATCTCTTGTTAATGATTTGCAGACCTAGCGTACAAAATCGTCAATTTGTCTATCGAGGATATGAGTAAGTCATTAAAAGATTTTTTTATCTTGTCTGCTTCGAAGTCATATTGACATCAACTGGTTTTCCAGGTGGGAAAAATACGCAGCATTTTGTGATCGAATGCACAACAAGCATCCAAATGCGCAAATCATCCAATCCGACGCGATCTCGACGGATGAACTGGCGTATGCCGAAGGCCAGTATCTACAGATCACCAGAGTCGTTGCCGAACCTGATCGGACGACAGTCGTCTTTAAGAATCCCGAAGTCTCGAGCTCTGTCGTCAGCTACTATGAACATAACGCTACTAACACTTTCAGCCATTCTAAACCGTTCAATAAGGATAACGTCGATCCTTCAGATACTGTTCGGATGTGGGTCGAAAAAAGTAAGTCAGAATGAAGAATTTTTCTGCCATGAGACTTTGGATGTTGACTGATATCTTCTTGTTCTTAGCTTTCTTGGTATGTGAGGACGTGTTCCCGACGGTGTTGAAACGATCAGAGATCTTGGAGATCAGAGTCTTGGAAATCTCACCGATCGAAAATGCGATAATGATTACTGAACAAAAGACAAGAGAATTAGAAAGTCTTCATCGTCGATATCTCGCTTTAACCAAAACTAGTGATGCCAAATTAAACACGAATCCGTTATCTATGGCGTTGAATAGCATAGTCGATACCCCTGCCAAGACTGGAATACCTGCCTTCAGAAATGGTTCGTCTTTATCTAAACATAAATCCATTAGTCTATCATATGTTTGTCTTAGATGTCCTTGATGCTAAACCCTCTTACACTCTGTTTGGAACAATCAGTCTTCTTAACTCCTAATTACTTGGAGGAACATCCACAACAAGTCCACCCAGTTCAAATGCTCCGCCAAGCCATCGACCATCAAACTACTGTGATCAATGCGAGTCTTCAATTGCATCAGTACCTCTGTCCGCCCGAAATGAAAGCCTTCCATGCCACACTGCATAAATGTGTGTATCTTACTTTTTAAGTTTTCAGATTTCCATTTATCTAACCTTTTTTTTTGCTTTGGCGATGATAGTTTTTGTCAAGAATTTCGCAGAAGAAATCGGACGATTGCCTCTCTCTTCTTCACTCAACGCTGAGCTATTTGGAGCTCAGCCGGAAGGGTCTGAAGACACCCAGGCTGATCTCACTCAACAGCCTGGACGGCATGACGCATACTCGCTCTCAAGGGGTAACTCATTTGCAACAGGATACGATGGTAATCCGATGGTTAACAATGGGGTTTACCAACCTAACGGACCCGCTCGACCCTCGCTATCCTTATCCCTAGGCGGCCTCTCGCCCCCGATTACGAACCCCTATGGACAGCACGACTCTCACGCCCAACCGCTTATCATCGGTGCCTCGCCATCAATCCAAACCCAATTCCAACAAGGATACAACTTTCCATCCTCCTCCTCTTCTCTGAATCCCAGTCTCAGCTTCAATACGATGAGCGGAGGCCAGTCGAGTGTCGGATTATCTCGCTCGATGACGATGACCTCATCGCATCAGAATCCCACAGGGAACTATCACGAGGGCCAGGTGATGGACAAGCAGAGTGTGATGACGGTAGGAGGAGGAGGAGGTGAAGGATACGAGTTCCCAGGCCAGCAGATGGAAGGAGCGAACCTGGTCCGGACGATGAGTGGCCCCTCGAGCGGGTTTGCGGAGTCAGTCTACCAATCCTTTAACACAAGTGTCCATGGGAACAACCGGGTTGGAGACTTATCAACAAGCGGATCATCCACACTCGTCAGTGGATCCGGACCCACTAACTCTGGGCCTGGAATTAATCAGAACCCGAGCGGATTCGGTAAACTGATCAGGAAGGGCACCGGGACTATCCTCTCTCATAATTCCGGATCTAGTCGCGGCAGCTTCCAGCAGAATTCTTCCAGCATCTCTAATCAGAATCTGGCCGTTAATCAGAACCCTCCTTCGGATCGGAGATCTATCCTCGGCATTCGGTTCGGTAGTCGTCATAAATAATCTTTTTCTTTTATCAAAACCCCTCCCCCCCCCCCCTCTCTCTCTCTCTCTTTTTCTTTTTTTCTTTTCGCTTGTTTTTGTCCTCGTCCTCGTTTCTTCCATCGTTATTTATTTATTTCTATTTCTATTTATTTGTCTCTTATTGGGCTCTCTCATCTCCATCTCCATCTCCATCTTTTTGTTCATAATTGGTGTTGATTCATTTTGTTTTTTTTTATCATCATACGACTTCGTTTTTAGGTTTCCATAGTTTAATTTTTATTTCTTCATTTGCTTTGTCAAGATCGTTCATCTTAACCGTCTACAGACTCATCCACACATACATGCATACATAGTCATTTATATATTTTCTTATATCAATCTTACGCCCTCTTCATTTGACAGACATCGTTTCATGCACTCTCATATCTTTTCTTCTCATCCTCTCTCTTTTCCTTCTCTTTTCTTCTCGTCTTATCTACAAAACCAAAAATAAAAATAAAAACAAAACATGAATGAATGAATGAACATGTCCTATTCAAATTACATATATGTATATATATATATGTCTTTATCTGTCATCGTTTCTAATATACATCAAATTTAAATCATCCATCCATTGAATCTCAATCCCTTCTACTTGATTCTTGTGATTCGCTCGTAATTTATTGAGTCATATGCAGTTTAATGATTCATCAGGTTGATGTAGAGATGGGTTTACATATATGGATTGGTTGGATGTCACAATCCGACTTGTCTGTTGTCTATAAGGTCCGCCTTTGGATGAAGTTGGTACTCAGATAGCTCTCTTGTCATGATGAGTGATAAGTTCGCCAATTGGTATGTATGACAAGTTACCCTAGTGCCGTCTTTGAAAGTGTGAGCATCAAGACAACAGGTGTCGGTCAGAGATCAAGTTCTAGAGCCGGGCAGTGCTAGCGCACTCGTGGTTCAAGGCTTCAGAATTGAACCCTTGCAATCATCGGGCTGCAATCCTATCACTGGGTTGTTTTTCCGATGTCAACCTGCAACACGTTTTTGTCAAAGTGTTTTTTTGTTTTTTTTTGCAAAAAAAAGGGAAACCTGGTTGGTTTCTTCATGCCTCTTTTGAAATGACGAGGGAGGTGCCGGTGTGCTTGGATCAAGTACCACATCTTATATAAAGCCCATTGATCACAGAAGACAATCGTAAAAACAGAGTTTGAAAGCTCATTTTTTTATCTGATCAGATGTGTAGGCGCAGGTTCAGAACAAAGTGTCGAAGCCTTGGGCCAGTGAACAATCAAACATTTAAACAGGGCTGATGGTCAGAACTGAGGCTCTGTGCAAGTCCACCAAAAAGTGTCCCTCCAGAGTTTCTCCTGTTTTCAGGACTTGATCCCCTTTGTACCTTGTTTTTCAAAAATTCCAAAAGAAAAGTAGTAGTAATTCTCGCCTATTCAGAATCATAGCAGCCTTTGTTGGCAAATTAATTGGATTGTGGAAGGTAATTACGATATGGTGAGATGACTGCTGGTGTTTTGTAGAACCTGCCACACCAAAAAAATCTGTCTGTTTCACATCTCTCTCCTTTGGTGAGGCAGACGCTCTACACACAACCAGGACTAGGGAAATACTTAAGTTTGGTTTTTGAGGCCCTTTTGAGCCTACAGAATGTCAAAAAATGAGTTGGGAGTGTTGAATGACCCCTCAAAATTGACCCTACAGGTACTTGAGGGAGCTCCAAGGGGTATATGACTATGGATAAGCCTGACTTAAACCGTTAGTTATGGGTTTAAGAAGTATGGCTTTTGGTAGGAATGTCCAAATGCATGCATGTCATACAAATAAACAAAAAAGAACTACTAGGGTAGGAGCTTAGCAGTCCCAATTATGAACTCTATGCATCTGTAGGAGCTCAAAATTGCAATAGAGTAAGTATCAGGGTATGTGCCCCCCCCGGACATAGGCCCTGTGTGTCCATTGTGGGTTTTGGGGGTGGGAAAGGGTTGAGCTATGCCATCCTCAACTGTAGCCTTGACATGCAGTAGCCAAAGACATGCCTTCAGTGAAGATTTTTCAGTTGAATATCAATTGTTCATCATCTATCATTGACAGCTCTTCCAAAACTGCTTGTGCAACTGGCCTCTGATTTTTATTTTTTATTTTTACTGAATTGGGCCTGTCACAGTCCCAATTATGAACTCTATGCATCTGTAGGAGCTCAAAATTGCAATGGAGTAAGTATCAGGGCATGTGCCCCCCGGACATAGGCCCTGTGTGTCCATTGTGGATTTTGGGGGTGGGAAAGAGTTGATCTACGCCATCCTCAACTGTAGCCTTTACATGCAGTAGCCAAAGACACGCCTTCAGTGAAGATTTTTCAGTTGAATATCAATTGTTCATCATCTATCATTTACAGCTCTTCCAAAAATGCTTGTCCAACTGGCCTCTGATATTTTTTTTTACTGAATTGGGCCTGTCACAACTGAACTAATGGCTAAGGATGTACAGCTGTCTTCAGTAGTTCAGTTGTGACAGGCCCAGTTCAGTAAAAAAAAATGAAAAATAAGAAAGTAAAAAAATTTTGAGGCAAGTTGGACAAGCATTCTCGCAATAGCTGTATTATCTTAGGCCTTGTTTGACAGTGATATAATGAGAGTAATATATGGCAATCTTTGTGTGACATCCTATGCCACATCTGACAGATGACACAAGAATCCACATTGTATTGCTAAATGATATCGGTGCCAAACAAGGCCTTAATCTTTTCCTCCAAATTTCATGCCCTTTCTACCATAACTTGAAGCTGTTACACCTTTTTCTTTGCATTTGACTTGCTTCTCTCTTAAATCTAAAGAAGAAAAAAAAACTTGGATTTAGCACCTGAGAGCAACTGGGAGGTAATCAGTTGGAGGCTAAATGTTCACAACATGTACTTCAAGTTTCTCTTAGATTTTTTTCTCTCTTTGTTTTTCAAAAAAGAGCAAGCTCAAGAATAATTGACAATTCTCTATTTCTAGTCTTTGTTTTGTGGCAACAAATTTAAGGATTTGAATGAGAGGAATTAAACCTGAATTTTAATTTCTTTGATATGGTCACTCAGATTAGCCTGTAAAACTCATTAATCTAACATGAATTTTTAGTTTATATCTGAAGGTCTGTGTTATTTTTCCAAGAGAAAACTATGTTTCTGCTCCAAATCTGATCTAAGTTTGTCAATCTGGTAAAAGAAATGAGTGATATTACTTTGCCTTCTTAACCAAGTTGATAGCCTGTCATCTCTGTTGTTAATTGTATGATAGGTGCTTTTGTACTTTGGAAATACCTGCCTGATTTTATTTGGAATATCTTGATAATTTTGTTTGGTGAACTTGAGATCTTGAAGGAGCAAATTGTCTGGATCAGATTTGATTATCTCATGATCATCAATCAATTTCTTTTTTCCATAAATCTCTACTTGCAACAGTATTAGTTCAACTTGATCTTCAAATTTTCCAGCCTCTTCATTGTTTGGAAATATTTCTGATGCTGCAATCTTCATAAGGCCTGGACAAAATTGCTTTTCAATGAAATCAAAAAATTCACAAATGACAACACTTATGTCTCTTTCACCTTTATGAAACAGGGGAAGAGTTCTAGTGCTCAATGTTTCTGCTAATAAATTGATAAGCCTCTTGATATCCTCTTTGAATTCTTTGAATTCAGTTATTATAACTGGATAGCTGTTCCCATAAAAAGATTTTGAGTGGTTGGTTTCTTTCAATTTATCAATATAATGTTTTGTTTTGAAGGAGAGCAAAAACTCATCCCATCCTGGAGGTGACTGGTATGTGTTGAAAACAGCTGCAAAGTACTCTAATTTATCTACTAAGAAAGTAAAATCAAAGATCCTTTTTTCTGTTTTACTTATTACTGGTAATTATGAAGTGTGATAAGGAATTTAATTGAGTGTTTATCAGACATCACATATTTTAATAGAACCATGTTTAATTGAAAGTTATACTCACTGCTGAAGCATGGATTCAGTGATGTCCAGTAAAAATGATCAGTAAAGTAACTCAAACCATGCCAAATCTCCCCAAGATTTCTTTCTTCAAAATATATCCTTGTCAAGAAAATTAACTGTTTTGCAATCTCTTCATCTTGGAAAATTTCTCTGACAACATTCCCATCAATAAAACCATTCTTGAACAAGAAACCAATTGTTTTGAATGCATATTTCCCAGCCCATAGCTTCTTCATTGAATCAAAAAAGTGTAGCTCCAAATCCTCAAACTGAGCATTGTAGGGAATGAATAATACTTTCATCTCTTCGGCAAGTGATTTCCCATAAGCTGTCCAAGATTTATCTGAAATGAGCTCCAATATATCAGAATTAGATTTTCCAATTGGTATGGGCATTGGCTTTTCCTTTGTCCAATTGAGTAACAACATTGCAACTTGCTTATTGGACAGAGTGACATTGACTTTTCCAATCTTCAAAAGTATCAATCCTTTAAAAATATTAATCTTATCTGCAGATTCTCTATAAACTCTGATTGAATTAGCCACTTGTTGAATATTGTGAGCTTTCTCAATATTGGCCTCCATCCAGTTGAACTCCCTTTGAAGCTTTCTGTGTATATACAAAAGCTCCTTCACATCCTTGAATAGTCTTTTCACTTGATCTAAAAAAGGCACCAATCATTGTGTATCAGCCCCCAACAAACTATTACCTTACCCCCCTGAAAAAGAAAAACTTACTTCTACTCTTGGTCCAGTTCTGAATCATTTCCAATCCTGAAAAAAAATGATCACTCTGGTTATTACATCATTTTTAAACAGGTAAATATGAGACAAGGAAACGCACGCCTTGGAGAAGTTAGATGCTGTCCTCTGCAGGGGAGCTCGTTGAACAATTTTTGCAACTGGAAAGCTCGGCGATGCTGGGCTTTTGCAGGATGATTGGACTCGGAGGACGAACTTTTGAATAAATCTCTGGGACGTTTTCCTAAGATTTTTGCTTCAGTATTGACAGACAAAAGTCCATCAAGGGAAGTGGATGAAAGATCTTCTATTTTTTGAAGGCATGCAAGGAATGGAAGTCCGGGAAACAGTCAGCATACAGACACAAAAATCATCCTGATTTGTTGAATCCGAAGGAAGTACCGTTGAATGATGGTGCCAGCGGAATCAGGGAGACAGCATCCTTCTCCCTGTCAGCTATTTTGAGCTCAATTTTCCCGGCAAGAGTAGCTGAGAAAGACCAAATCAAAATGATTAGAATTCGCGGAAGCATATTCATGGATTAATTATGGGATTTCAGGAAAGGCTTTCCACTGGAACCCACAGAGTCTTGTTTATGTATGACCATCACTTCTGTTTGATTTTTTTTTTTTTGATTGGTCACTGGCCAAGGCTTTGACTGTTTGTTCTGAACCTGCTACATCTCATCAGATGAAAAATGAGCTTTCAAACTCTGTATTTACGATTGTCTTCTGTCATCAATGGATTTTATAGATGTGGTACTTGACTCAAGGACACCGGCACCTCCCTCG